CCAGTCAGGCGAAATTATTGTAAGACTTGAAGTACTTACGAAGCTACATACTTAAGCCAGCCAGACTGGTTTGCTATTAGTCTTAGAGAGTATATATATATATATATAACTACTTACTGAATTCATCAGGCAAGTTTACTGTTTGACTTAGTGTCCGAACCAACGAGTAATTTATTAGTTTTATGCTAATATGTAAAAACCATTTTAAATTATGTTGTAAAGTTTCATATATGCTCTTTAAACAATATACTTACGTCGAGAAAAATATTTATTCATATTAATACATGCTTCTTTGTGTGAAATAGTTATTAACTAAACGTGAATTTTGAATATCTGTATTTCTACATTATAGAAAGTTTAAATATTTACAGTCAACGACTGAAGAGAAATTGGCTCAATAATAATGCGTTTCAGCATGTAAGAACGACAGCTAGATGTAATAGATTACAGTAAAAAAAGTAACTGCTTGAGATAATCCAATTAACTTAAGATGTTTGCTTTGACACCTTATTTGCAGAACAAATATGTTTAAACGAACGTGTTAGTCATAGACAAATAACTGAGGTGTTGTTGCTTTAGCGCAAAGCTACACAATGAATGATTTGCGCTCCGTACACTGCGGAGAATCGAACCCCGGATTTTAGCTATGTAAACCCATAAACTTAACGCTGACCCACCGAGGGGGGTGCATATAATGAGACAATCCAAGATTCTATTTGACATTTTGTTTTTAAGACAGGGACACGATGTAGTGCTTTAAAACAAATATCAATTAAAACTGTTTTTCCGGTTTCGTTTTCTTCTGCTACGTCATAAATAGTTAATTTTGAGAAGCAACATACTACGTAGTTGTTAATCTATGTAAACCATTACTACGATTCTATATTCAAATGATACTGGTTTTCTTTTCCATTATCGTTTAAACTTAAACACAGGTTATAACTAATAAATTATTTGGTTATAAGATTATTTTCAGTTTCAGATTAATAAGCCAGTATTATAAAACACATAAAGTTTTTAGTTTATTAACGACGTAAAGGTGCAGTTATGGTTGTTATAATGCGCCTGTTAAACTTTCATAAGGCTTGCCTACACTTAATAAGTTTAAAGAATTAACGCTTTAACGGACTAGTCCGTAAAGCCTAGAAACATATAATAGGCAGATATATATATTTTACGATTTTTATTTACTTTTCATATAAATTTGGAAAGTAAATAAACTGCTACGTGACTGCCCGTATGACAACTGAGATGATGATACGAAAAAGAGCGCCACTTGCGGAGGTGTGGATTTACAAAGAATAGTGCGTAGTAAGACAATAACAAGCTCTTTATAGATAAATCTAGTGAGCTGGGGTTGGGAGGAGATTTCACAACAGCTTGTGAATGTAACTATTTAACAAGCTGAAGATGCACAAACGACTGAACTTTAATCAAGAAGGGCGTTAAAACAAAAAAGTGTGAAAATGAAGGACTTATTCTTTGATAGATTGTTCAGGCAGAGTATTCATGATGAAATTTGGTATAGAGGACGACGTTTCTACAATAGACAGTTGCCGTTCATTCAACCAAATTTTATCATGAATGATTTAATTCTCTCGTCTTTATTAAGTCTGGTTATACGACATATAATCGTATTTATCGTATTTATTTAATTGCTGAAACGATAATACCTAAGAAACGGTTTAGTTTGTTTTTTATTTTTTTTAATTTCGCAAAAAGCTACACGAGGGCTATCTGCGCTAACCGCCCCTAATTTAGCAGTGAAAAACTAGAGGGAAGGCAGCTAGTCATCACCACCCACCGCCAACTCTTGAGCTACTCTTTGTTGCGTATTTAACTAAACATGTTTATAATGGAACAGTTTACTGAGTTAATTTGATGCACATTTAGATATATTTTCAGTTGATCAGTTCACTGAATTGTCTATTGCAAATATAGAAATGTTTACAGTGGAACAGGTAATTTTGTTATTTTTTATGTATTAAGAGACATATAGTAAATTTCTTTGTTAATCAGCTTTTAATTGTTATAAGCATGAAAAAAATGCATTATAGA